TCGGCGTACATATTTCAGAGAAGCTGAAATAGTCAAACCACACGGACACCGTGGTGAAGAAGGCACGACAGCGACTCTTCAACTTCAGGAGGCTGAAGAAATGTGGCCTTTCCTCAAGGGCCCTCACAGTGTTCTACAGGAGCACCATCGAGAGCATACTGTCGGGCTGCAGCCCAGGACCTCCACATTCGGCTTCTTCACCTGCGAGATCGTCTGAGGTCAGCCACCCAGACAGCTGATGAAACTGTGGGTTTGCACAGCCGAAGAATTCCTGCACAAACTGTCAGAAACCGTCTCAGGGATGCTCATCTGCGTGCTCGTCGTCCTCATCAGGGTCTTGGCATGACTGCAGTTCAGCATCGTAATTCAGTGGACCCCATGGTGGCTGTGGGGTTATGGTATGGGCAGGCATAAGCTATGGACAATGAACACAATTGAATTTTATTGATGGCAATTTGAATGCATATAGATACCGTGACGAAATCCTGAGGCCCATTGTTGTGCCATTCATCCGCCGCCATCACTTCATGTTCCAGGATGATAACGCATGACCCCATGTCACCCAAGCTGAAAATGTCCTAGTTCTTCCATGGCCTTCATACTCACCAGACATTTCACCCATTGTTTGGGGTGCTCTGGATTGAAGTGTACGACAGCATATTCCAGTTCCCTCCAATATACAGCAACTTCGCACAGCCATTGAAGAGGAGTGGGACAACATTCCACAGGCCACAATCAACAGCCTGATCAAATCTATGTGAACAAGATGTGTCGCGCTGCATGATAACACCAGCTGCTGACTGGTTTTCTGATCCATGCCCCTACATTTTTAAAAAGATATCTGTGACCAATAGATACATATCTTTATTCCCAGTCATGTGAAATCCATAGATTAGGGCCTAATGAATTTATTTCAATTGACTGATTTCCTTATATGAACTGTAACTCAGTAAAATCTTAGAAATTGTTGCATGTTGCGTTTATATTTTTCTTCAGTGTATATATAAATATGGTTTGTATATATGTGTTGGGCTTTATATATTGTGTATTTGTATGTGTTGGGCTTTAGCTGAGATTATTCTTTACAGAGTCAAGTATATTAAAATCTTCTAACTTTTTCCCAGAAGCATTTAACTGCAGGGCACACCCACATCATATGAAGGAATGTGCCTACCTGATTTACAAAGATTATTTCCAGATCCTTAATATATTTTGTCTGCGCTTATGGAATGTCCTCTTCAATTCAAACCACAGGTTTTCAATGGGGTTCAGGGAGACTGAGATGGTCACTGCAAAATGTTGATTTTGTGGCCAACTAACCATTTCTTAGTGGATTTTGAAGTGTGCTTGGGGTTATTGTATTGCTGGAAGATCCACTTGCAGAGGCAACCAGGTTTTTGTCTAAAATGTCCTGGTACTTGGTAAAGTTCATGATGCTATTGACCTTCACAAGTGCCCCAGGACCAGTGGAAGCAAAATAGCCCCATAACATCAAAGATCCCCAACTATATTTTACAGTAGGTATGAGGTACTTTTCTGCATATATTTCTGTTTTTCGACACCAAACCCACCACTGGTGTGCATGGCCAAAGAGCTCTATTTCATGTCATCTGACAGCACACCCTGGAGTTTGCTAAACGGCATTGACACTTGGATTGGAACCGATGCTTTGGTCAGATGACATGAAAATAGAACTCTGTGGTGGGTTTGGCGTCGAAAAACTGATATTATGCAGAAAAGTACCTCATATACCTCATAATTCATTTTATTACTTGTTAAACGAAATCTCTTTCTCTGACCAATTGTTTGTAGGAAGAAAAAAAATGTTTTGCTCATCTTTATCAAAGGTGGCAATAATTTGGAAGGTAACTGTATGTGTTGTGTGCGTGTGGGGGATATAGCCACAGCACTTACTGTTATAAATGTTTAATGTACACACTCTTATCGTTAATGCATCTTATTTTACCGAATTCAATCACAATGCCATTAGGGTTGTCAATAGATGACATTAGCAGAGGTTATGATATTGAGGTCATAAATCAGAAGGATGAGTTGCAAACAAGTCCACAGCCCTATAGGCCTACACAGAGTATTCAATGGTTTTAAAGCTAAAATGTGTCTAGGCCTAGAGGTAGAACTATTACATTTGATCTAAGGTAGCCTAAAAGTATGGAATTGCCTGAGCTGGACCTTGTCACGATCGTTATAATGAGTGGACCAAGGCGCAGCGTGATATGAGTACATACTTTAATAGGTACTTTTCAAATACATCAAAATGATACGTGAAGTCCTCGGTCAATAACACAAACCTACACGGAACAAGATCCCACAAATCACAAGTGCACAAAAGGCTGCCTAAGTATGGTTCCCAATCAGAGACAACAAGCAACAGCTGATTCACGTTGCCTCTGATTGAGAACCACCCCGGCCAACATAGAAACACATAACCTAGAACAGAACATAGGAAACGAAACATAGACGCTACACAAAGAAACTAACACCCTGGCTCAACATACAAGAGTCCCCAGAGCCAGGGCGTGACAGTACCCCCCCCCAAAGAACATAAACCCAACAGGGGAGGGGCCGGGTGGGCATTCCACCTCGGAGGCGGATCCGGCTCAGGGCGTGACCACCACCCTCTAACAACCCCCCCGTAGCGCCCCTGGTCTGGTCTGGCCCCGCTGGCTGGAGCTGGACTGGACATCGGTGGAGCGGATTGCGTAGGCTCCGGTGTGGAGCAGCTGACCGGTACCTCACCAGGCACCGGTGAAACAGGCACGGGCTGTGCCGGACTGACGACGCGCATCACAGGCTTGGTGCGGGGAGCAGGAATGGGCCGGATCGGGCTGGCGACGCGCACCACAGGCTTGGTGCGAGGGGCAGGAACAGGCCGGACCGGGCTGGCGACGCGCACCACAGGCTTGGTGCGGGGAGCAGGAACAGGCCGGACCTGGCTGTGGAGACGGACTGGAGGTCTGGAGCGAAGAGCTGACACAACCCGTCCTGGCTGAATGCCTATTTTTACACACTCTGTGTGAGGCATCAGCACAGGACGTACAGGGCTGTGTACTCGTACTGGCACTACAGCACGTGACACTGGCGCAGGATATCCGGGACCGAGGAGGGGTACTGGAGGCCACGAGCGTTGAGCCGGCACACTCCGTCCTGGCTGCATGCCCACCTTAGCACGACACGTGCGTGGTGCTCGCACAGGACGTACCGGACTGTGCCGGACCACTCGCGGCACAGTACGCAGCTCCGCGTACCTCGGAACCTGCCCAGTCTCACGCTGCCTAGCCTGAGTACGGGGAGTTGGCTCTGCTCTACCTCTAGGCTCCGCCAACCTCCCTTCCAGCCCCCCAAACCCGGTGGCCTCCTCTCCTAATCCCCAAACTCGCCCCGTAGCTGCCTCCAGCAGCCACGTCGTCCATGCCGTGTGCCCCCCCCCAAAAAAAAATGTCTTGGGGTTGCCTCTTGCGTGTCTGACGTCGACCCGGTTGGCGCCGCTGCTCCTCTCTATGGCGCGCCTCCACCGTCTCCTCCCACGGACGGCGATCTATACCGGCCTAGATTTCCTCCCAAGTCCAGGACCCCTGCCCATCCAAGATCTCCTCCCAAGTCCAGGCTGTCTGCTCCTGGACACGCTGCTTGGTCCTGTTTTGGTGGGATATTCTGTCACGATCATTATAATGAGTGGACCAAGGCGCAGCGTGATATGAGTACATACTTTAATAGGTACTTTTCAAATACAATAAAAACAACAAAACGATACGTGAAGTCCTCGGTCAATAACACAAACCTACACGGAACAAGATCCCACAAATCACAAGTGCACAAAAGGCTGCCTAAGTATTGTTCCCAATCAGAGACAACAAGCAACAGCTGATTCACGTTGCCTCTGATTGAGAACCACCCCGGCCAACATAGAAACACATAACCTAGAACAGAACATAGGAAACGAAACATAGACACTACACAAAGAAACTAACACCCTGGCTCAACATACAAGAGTCCCCAGAGCCAGGGCGTGACAGACCTGCCTTACTGTTTACACTAGCTTCTATATCCACACATTCAGATTCCACAGCCACAAAGTGAGATTCACAGCTACAAAGTCCAAATTGGCTACAAAAATGATCTTAATTTAAATTTGCTTAATTTAAGGTTAGGGTTAGGCATAAGGTTAGCAGTGTGGTTAAGGTTATGTTTAAAATAACATTTTAAGAAGATAAATTGTAGATATGGGTGGGGTTTATGACTTTGAAGCTAGTCTAGAAGCTAGTGATGACCCTGCCTCAGCTGTAGTTATCCTTCCTTGTCGACTGTACAGGTGTAGGATCTTAATGTGATTACTCTTTTGTTGCTGGGAATATTTATGCACTGCAGGAAGTGCAGATGAGCTTCATGATTTATACAAATTCACTGAAAACACGCAATAACACTTGGTTATATTAACAGGCTATTGTACTTTTCATTAAGTCTAATTTCAAGCAACATTATGGACTAAACTTTCAAATCCTGTTAGGACTACTGTAGGTTTATTTTGCTGCGACAATAGGCCTATTGGTCAAATTAAGATCCTACACCTGTAAATCAACCATGTTCTAAAAAATAACTCGGATGGCTCCATGAATTTAGTTGTAATCAGGCATCAGACAAAACAAATCTATAAGGGCGCGATATTGGAACTCACGATACATGTATTAAATTATTCAAGAGAGGGCACAGAAGTTAAATATGGAACTGTAACATAATTGCGGACAGTAGCCTATTTATAAAGGAGAAATGTATCCCTACAAAAAGCAGATATTACCATGGCGGACACGTGGGCTTATGTGTTGAAAAAAGGGGAGAAATGAATTGAGTACATAACTGCACCCTCATATTTTGTTGCTTCTCAAATGTACAATAATCTATTTTCAAACTAAAAAACAAACACACCCCCGCTGCACATTGCTCCTCGAAAATGTTGCGTTTGTCCGCTGTCCATGGTGCTATTTTCCGATTCGGCAAGATTTCAAAGATCACCAGTCTGTCGCACATATGGGCCAACTTTCTCTCCTATTGGCGCTTCGAAAGAAGGCTAACTAATGATATTATCATCAAACGTTTTTTGATATTTTAATCGACCGGAGCTTGCCTGGAATCCCGGAAATCCCCCTGAATTGAGTTGGATGGGAAATTGAGTAGCCTAGCGGAAAGCATCTGCAGCAGAATCTGCTTATGTCAGGTGTTCTTCTGTCCACTGCTGCATTCAAGGCAAGGAGCGGTGAGATCGAGGTAGATTGCATCGAAGTTGCTCTCTGTCATTGTCATAAATGTTACAAAATCGACATGTTAGCCTCGAAGCATTGGTTATGGATCAATTTGGTTCTACTGTGTCTCGGTCAAGCCAGTCTAGCTGCACCTAAAAAGGTTTTTCGATGCCCTTCAGGATGCTCGTGCTCCAAGGAGACCATTATCTGTGTCGGGACCTCAAGTGTACCACGGACTATCCCGAATGACATCAACTCACTGTGAGTATTCTCCTCAATGTATTCATCATCACACAAAGTTGAAAGGAAAACACAGTAGGCCTATCATATGGAATGTTGGAAAACGTACAAGCATCAATTGTGTAGTGACATGAAGTTTGTATTGACTTCAAGGTTACAAGTAATGATTTCCTCGTTACAGTCTATTGAGACAACTGAAGCATCTTAATAGGCTAATGCTGGTTTCATATTGTCAATATCATGTCGATCTTCCACCAGGAGCATAGTAAATGGATCCCTCGCAGAAATCACTGAGGCCATGTTCTCCCTCATGCCCTCTCTGCAGTTGCTGTACGTAGACACATAATTTACATCTTCAGCATGTACCTAAGAATATTTTGTTTTTATAGTTCCCTATACATGGATTCACCAATGCAGGCCGGATGTAGGCCTACACCAGTAACTGTAACTACAATTCGGATCAAGATGTGGTCCTGTATGGCTCAGTTGGTAGAGCATGACGCTTGCAAATCCTGGTGCTACCCAAACGTACAATTTATGCATGCATGACTAAGACGCTTTGGATAAAATCGTCTGGTAAATGGCATATATTATTATTATTATTATTATTATTATTATTATTATTATTATTATTATTATTATTATTATTATTATATCAGACAGAGACACATGCAGGGATTAGTGTCAGTCTGAATGGCCTGATTTATGAACAGTATCTCATTGCCTTCGAAAGTCTGTTTGGTCATAGCTCCGTGTTGCTAATAATTTTTTGCATCTTCAATAAGTGTCACATTTGCCATCCAAATGTTAAAAGTGGAATATGCTATGGAATCTAGGCTATCACGACCCAACACGTATCATGTTTTTCTTATTTTCTCAGGCTTCTCAATTCAAATTCATTGACCACCATCAAAGATGATGCATTCTATGGCCTTCCTCATCTTGAATATTTGTGAGTATTTGGTTCAAACTAATTTGTTTTTTCTCCTCAGTCAACTGTTTTTGCAGAAACAGTATGATTACAAACATCTGAATTAATCTTCTTCAATGTCTAAAAACATTTTAAGGTGGCCTATGGAACACTAGTGTAATGTGATACCTGTAATTCGCCATGGTTTTCTTCTTCATTTTTGTCATATAAAACGAAAAGCTCTTAGCTTTAGTAAAATAAGTAATTTCATGTTTTTTAAACTGAATGGAAAGCTCAAAAGACAGCTACAGTAACATCATTACTCCCTTAATTTATTACATTTGTGATTAACAGATTCATAGAGGGCAACAAGATTGAGACCATCACCAAAAATGCCCTCAGAGGTCTCCGAGACGTGACTCATTTGTAAGTCTGCTGCTACCATTTCTACCATCTCTATTCTCTACCCAGGGCCGTAAGTGCATATGAGGACACCAAGGTCCGGACCTCTGTAATTGTTTCGAATTTGAAAAAATATATATACAGTACCAGTCAAAAGTTTGGACACTCCTACTGATTCAAGGTTTTTCTGTATTTTTACTATTTTCTACATTGTAGAATAATAGTGAAGACATCAAAACGTTGAAATAACACATATGGAATAATGTAGTAACCAAAAAAGTGTTAAACAATATATATTACATTTGAGATTCTTCATATAGCCACCCTTTGCCTTGATGACAGCTTTGCACACTCTTGGCATTCTCTCAACCAGCTTCACCTGGAATGCTTTTCCAACAGTTTTGAAGGAGTTCCCACATATGCTTAGCACTTGTTGGCTGATTTTCCTTCACTCTGCCGTCCGAATCATCCCAAAACATCTTAATTGGGTTGAGGTCAGGGGATTGTGGAGGCCAGGTCATCTGATGCAGCACTCCATCACTCTCCTTCTTGGTAAAATAGCACTTACACAGCCTGGAGGTGTGTTGGGTCATTGTCCTGTTGAAAAACAAATGATAGTCCCACAAAGCCCAAACCAGATGGGTTGGCGTATCGCTGCAGAATGCTGTGGTGGCCATACTGGTTAAGTGTGCCTTGAAGTCTAAATAAATCACAGACAGTGTCACCAGCAAAGCACCCCCACACCATAACACCTCCTCCTCCATGCTTTACGGTGGGAACTACACATGCGGAGATCATCCGTTCACCCACACTGCGTCTCACAAAGACACGGCGGTTGGAACCAAAAATCTCAAATTTGGACTCAAGACCAAAGGACACATTTCTACAGCCCCTCTGAACAGTTGATGTTGAGTCTGGGTCTTTTATTCCTGGGGTGGTCCTCATGAGAGCCAGTTTCATCATAGCGCTTGATGGTTTTTGCATCTGCACTTGAAGAAACTTTCAAAGTTCTTGAAATGTTCCGTATTGACTGACTTTCATGTCTTAAAGTAATGATGGACTGTCATTTCTCTTTGCTTATTTGAGCTGTTCTTGCCATAATATAGACTTGGTCTTTTACCAAATAGGGCTATGTTCTGTATACCCCCCTACCTTGTCACAACACAACTGATTGGCTCAAACGCATTAAGAAGGAAAGAAATTCCACAAATTAACTTTTAAGAAGGCACACCTGTTAATTGAAATGCATTCCAGGTGACAACCTCATGAAGCTGGTTGAGAGAATGCCAAGAGTGTGTAAAGCTGTCATCAAGGCAAAGGGTGGCTATTTGAAGAATCTCAAATATAAAATATATTTTGATTTGTTTAACACTTTTTTGGTTACTACATGATTCCATATGTGTTATTTCATAGTTTTGATTTCTTCACTATTATTATACAATGTAGGAAATAGTACAAATAAAGAAAAACCCTTGAATAAGTAGGTGTGTCCAAACTTTTGACTGATAGTGTATATTTCTTTAGGAACTCAGTCAAGGTCTCAACTTACTGTTAAGAGTTAGAATAGTAGAATACACCCGGACCCAGCCACTAGAGTTCTAAACTCCAGGGCAAAGTCCTGCGCAGTCCTCGTCCCCTGCCTGAGATGGACCAGCCGCTCGCCCGCCTCTCTTCCCTCGGGAGGGTGATCGAAGACTGCCCGGAAGAGGCGAACGAACTCCCCGTAGTTGTCCAACGCGTCTCCTCCTTCACTCCAGACCGCGTTGGCCCACTCCAGGGCTTTCCCCGAGAGGCAGGAGACGAGGGCGGACACCTTCTCCCGCTCCGATGGAGCCGGGCTGATGGTAGACAAATAGAGGTCCAGCTGCACGAGGAATCCCTGGCAGCGGCCCGCTGTACCGTCATACTCCCTCGGTCGGGATAGGTGAATCCCTCTGGGTGCTGGGGTGTGGGTGGCTGGATCCGGTCGCTCAGCTGGTCCTGAAGGGTCGGGTCCTCTCCTCTCCAGGCGTTGGATGACCTGGAGAACCCGATCCATCGCTTCGCCCAAGCTGGCTAGCATGTTGGAATGCTCCCGGGCCCGCTCCACGACTCCAGGCATATTCCCGTCTCCTGCTGACTCCATGCTGTTGGTGTGTGATTCTGTGGCGGGTGATTTGGACGGAGTCAGGCGCAGGAGGGTAAATCACAGAATAAATGGTTTATTCGGTAAGACAGCGGTACGCAGCAATGCGTAAAACACTCCAGTGCGGTAATTACCGCACTGGAGAAAACAAGGCACACGGGTGAATATCCCGGCGATACAAAATACAACATAGCTCCACTGAGCTATAGTAACCTCCACAATAAACAATCACACACAAAGACAAGGGGGGCAGAGGGAATACTTATACAGGTTTGATAAGGGGATATGAACCAGGTGTGTGTAATAAACAAGACAAATCAAATGGAATGATGAGATGAGGGGTGGCAGTGGCTAGAAGGCTGATGACGACGAACGCCGAAGCCTGCCCGAACAAGGAGAGGAGGCAGCTTCGGAGGAAGTCGTGACAGCAGCAGTGCAGCAGCAGACTCAATACTGTACAGACTCAGGGCAGAGCAGGCTGTTTGCTGCTTCATTAAAACTCGTTCATTGTGATAAAATCATGTTACAACAATAGCTAGCTAACTATCTAGCTCGCTTGTTTATGGAAGGAGTATTTAATTTAGTGTTGCACTAGCTGGTTGGTCAGCTTCTCTTTCGTTTCATATGAAGTGACTTGCTCAGGCTTAGCTAGTAAGTTATCGTGTACATGATCTAGCTTAGCTAGTACGTTTTCGTGTATATGATCAAAGTTCAGAAAGACACAAAACTCCTTAACTAAAATCGCGCGACTAAGACATCCTCGAAATTAAACTTCAAAATTAATTACAGATTTCTTGATTTATCTAGATTTATTATGACTAATTTTGAGGGTGGCGTAGAAGTGACTGTTGTTACTAGGTAACATGATAAGATTCATGGGAAGAAGCTGCTGCTAAGGGCGCCGAGTCGGCATAGGATGCCCACTCGATAAAAAGCTTCCGAAGGGCGCAGTGGAGTCCTCGATGACTCGAGAACTAGCGTTTTTAGATTGACTCGATTGACTTATAACGTGAATATCAAGTGATCGAGTGCTCGAAGTGCTCAAAGTGTTTGAGATTCAGCCTATGTGTTTATAGATAGACTTTTTGCTGTTCTCCAAATAGCACCGCCCCCCATCCCCCGTCCCCCTGAACCTCACTAAAACTCAGACCCTGGTTACGGCCCTGTCTCTACCATCTCTTCCATCTTTATCCTCTCTCGATCTCTATTCTTTTCCATCTCTACCATCTCTATTTTCTATCATCTTTATCATCTCTACTATATTTCTACCATCTCTTCCATCTTTCTATCATTTCTCTCTCCCTGATCATCTCTCTCTACCACCGCTGTCATGTCTATCAGATCTATCAATCTCTATTATGTCTACCATTTCTATCATCCCTTCCATTTCTATCATTTCTATTCTCTATTATCTCTATCATCTCAATCCTCCACCCAAGAATCTCTCTCCATGACGACACATTGTTTTTCTCACTGTCTCCTGCCGCTCTGTCTCTCGCAGGTCGCTGGCTAACAACAACATGAGGGCTTTGCCAAGGGATCTCTTCCACGATCTTGACTCTCTGCTAGAGCTGTGAGTAAGAAAAGCAGCTAGCAATCACTTATAGGACCACGGGTTTCTATGAGGCAGCACTGACACTGCACCAAACATCTCTAATTGACAGTTGGCAACCTGCTCTTATAGGCTTTTAAGGCTACCGCCTTCTGCCCGATGTAAGGAGGATGACTACCGAAGATGGGCTGCTAATGCTCCTCTATAAGCTTGCCATCAGGGAATGGTGATTTGCAATTTATTGAACGAGATCACATTGAATATCCTGATATCCAATGAATAATGGTTTTGAATATAATATTGAGAATGAGATAAACAGGAAATGGTTGTTATACTCAGCTAGTTCAATCAGAATGCTGCTTGTGCTTAAAGAGTTAATGATCGATTTGTGTATATACCTTGTTATTAGTAGGTTCAAGAAATAAGTGCTTTGTTCAGTACACTGGCTAGCCAGTGATTTAGAAATGGTGCACAAAATATTTACTAGGGACAAGCTTAGTCCCGCATGCACATAGGGTGCCATTTTTGTCACGTAACAGAGCACAGATCTGTGAAAAATACTGTAAAACTCCACATTTATAATCTGAAGTGCAATATCATTTGAAAACTTTCTTTAATGTTGTGCATTAAAACTGCCAATTGCTCATGAAAAAAGTTGCCCATAATGTGTTGTTGTTTTGGCATTTTAAAAAGTGTATTGCATGTTACTTCTGGTCCAGAGACAATCTTCAACCCCTTTCCCTAGGTCCATCTGAAGAGATTGGAGATTGGATAGGTGTAATCAATATGATGACGGCTCTACCTGTTACATAAAATCTGCAAACACACAAGGGGCTAAGGAAAGGGACTAGGGGTTGTTTTGGAAAAAGGGTTAGGGTAAGAGTTAAACTGATTTTAGGGAAGTAGATAAAGGGCTTCATTGTCAAATCCCAAACTATCCCTTTAATCTGTGTCCAGGAAACTAGCCCCTAGAGTCCAGACCTTATTTTCTTGCAGTGTGTGGATACTGGATGGCATAAATGTTCCCATTATTTTTACTCTTAATTCCCAGACTATGACCTAAGCTTTGCCTTTTACTAAGTGATCACATTCTATCTTTTGGTGGATTCGTTTGCGTTAATGCATCCATCCTCTGTCACATGTTAGGGATTTGCGAGGCAACATATTTCAGTGTGACTGCGAGAACAAGTGGCTGATGATGTGGCTGAAAAACACCAACGCTACCGTATCGGATGTCAACTGCGCAGGTCCCATAGAAATGAAGGGCAAACGTCTGAACGACCTTCCCATCCTGCCGGACGAGTGTATCTCCACAGGTAATTTAACCAGCGCACCTCCAAACTCTGGTCAAACATAAATGTCACACCCAACCAATTTATATTATTTATCCTTTCAATAATAATATTTTTGGTGTTTGTGTGTGTGTGTGTTGAGGAGGAATCAAATATACAGTTATGCAATTTATTTATAGCCACACTTGCCATCTGTGTGATACTGTAATAATACTATACACATATACAGTAGTAGCTCTACACACTATGAACCATGTTTGATTTACATATTGTGATACACAAAGGTGTCATGACACACAGTCCTTTCACACCGTGTGTTGTCTGTTCAGCAGTTGATCGATTTCTTGCAACAACACAAATACCTTTTTAAACTCTTACATGGTAAAATACATTTTACTTTCTGTAATAATGTATTGGACATCATCAGTACTTTGCTGTTGAATAATTAACAAAAAATTACCAATAGCGACAATGGGGGCTTTAATACTTCAAATCCAAGTTATATTTGATTACTAATTTGTTGTAGCTTAATTGAGAGTTGCCACATTGTTGTGGCCTTGTGTGGATATCAGGGTCTCCTCTGTACATATTTTTGTGTTGTGTTCATCATGTTGTGTTCCTTATCTGCCCCACAGACTTTGTCCGTCATCAGTCCATTCCAACCCAGGCTTTGTCGGCTGACATTTTCTCCCATAAGGAGGACATTTATGTGGCGATGGCTGACCCCAATTACAACAGCTGTGTGGTCATGGAATGGGACCACATTGAAATGAATTTCAGGCCTTTCGATAACATCACAGGTTTGATAACATCTCTTTTCTTGTTAGTTTGCTAAATGTTTTATTTTATTTTATTGTTCTAGGCCTATCCTTGTTGTTTAGTTAAATATACTAGAAGTCTCACTGTCCATTTTTTATGTTTTTTGGTTGTACCATACACTGAGTTTACAAAACATTTCCATGCTCTTTCCATGACATAGACTGACCAGGTGAATCCAGGTGAAAGCTATGATCCCTTATTGAGGTCACCTGTTAAAACCACTTCAATTAGTGTAGATGAAGGGGAGGAGACAAGTTAAAGAAGATTTATAAGCCTTGAGACAATTGAGACATGGATTGTGTCTCAATTGTCTCCTCCCCTTCAGAGGTTGAATGGGCAAGACAAAATATTTAAGTGCCTGAACAGGGTATGGTAGTAGGTGCCAGGCGCACCGGTTTAAGTGTACCAAGAACTGCAATGCTGCTGGGTTTTTCACACTCAACAGTTTCCCGTGTGTATCAAGAATGGTCCACCACCCAAAGGACATCCAGCCAACTTGACACAACTGTGGGAAGCATTGGAGTCAACATGTGCCAGCTTCCCTGTGGAATGCTTTCGACACCTTTTAGTCCATGCCCCAACAAATTGAATTTAGGCCCCAACGAATTTAGGAAAAAATGGGTGCAACTCAATATTAGGAAGGTGTTCCTAATGTTTTTTACACTCAGTTTACATTTATTGTTCAACACATACAATTCAATAGAAATTACGAATTTGACTGGCCAGGACCTTAAAACAACTTGTGAATGTAAATTGAGAAACATTCTTTCCAAGTTCAAGTTTTTATTACACTCATATAGCAGTCAGTATAAACTGAAGTAAATGAGCATACAAAATATTAAGATAAGAGCAACTAAATAAAAAATTAAAGTAAAGACATTTTATAAAAAATCTCCTTAATCAATGAGCAGAAATATGGGGTGGGTGACCTCTTGTACCGTTCAGTTCTAGACTTTGGTATATATTCAGTTGGGTTTGGCTGCGGATGTTCCTGCCTGTCACTGTGTTTCGTCAGGGGGTAGCCAGTCTTTGAATTTAGATTTTAGGAGGCTGACAGCGAAATCCGTGCAGAGTTGTGTCCTTCTTTCATGAAGCCGTGTTAGGGACAGGGTCTAAAGTGCCTCAGTGTAACTGGAGTATCATGCTAGGATGGTGCGGCATGCTCTCTTCTGAATACGTTGCAGGTCATCAGACTGGGTCTGGGTCAGTGAGCTATTCCAGCACATGAATATGACATAATGCTGAGTATAGTGGTAGAGTTTATAGGACTTGATAATCTGACTATATTTTATTTCATTTTTTTCTCAATCATAATATCACTATTACTAATTATTTCAATATTACTCCAGGAAAGTCTGTTGTTGGATGCAAGTCTGTTCTGATTGACAACCACGTCTTGGTAATCGTGACTCAGCTCTTTGGCGGCTCCCACATCTACAAGTTTGACGATCAACAAAACAAGTTCACCAAGTTCCAAACCATTGAGGTCTTCAACATCTCCAAACCCAATGACATTGAGGTGTTCCAAATAGCCGGTGAGTGGTACTTCATCATTGTGGACAGCTCCAAGGCGGGCCTATCAACTCTGTACAAGTGGAACGACCAAACGGACCGGAACGAGACCGGTTTCTACTCCTACCAGTTCCTCCACGAGTGGTTCCGAGATACAGACGCAGAGTTCGTCGAGCTAGACGGGAAGTCCCATCTTATCTTGGCCAGTCGCTCTCAGGCACCCGTCATTTATCTGTGGAACAAGAGCAGCCAGAAGTTCCAGCTGCACAGCGAAATCCTAAATGTTGACGATGTGGTGGCGGTCAAAGCCTTCCGGGTGGACGAGGAACTCTTCCTGGCCATGACGTGTTACATTGGTGACTCCAAAGTCCTCAAGTGGACCAGCAAGCAGTTCACCGAGGTGCAGGCCCTGCCTTCTCGTGGCGCCATGGTCCTCCAGCCGTTTTCGTTCAAGGACAGGCACTACTTGGCCCTGGGCAGCGATTACTCCTTCACGCAGATCTACCTGTGGGATGAGGAGATCAAAATGTTCTCCAAGTTCAAGGATATCTATGTGCAGTCTCCGCGCTCTTTCAACGTGGTGTCCACTGACCGGCGTAATTTTTTATTTTCCTCCAGCTTCAAAGGGAAAACGATGGTCTTCGAGCACGTTATTATCGACATAAGCCTATGAAACTAGAAAGCTTTTATTTGTGCCTAACACCATCAAATTATTGTTTCTGACACATTTATACCTATTGCCATGAGTAGTAAATTATGTATTTATTTAATGAAAGGTGAATATAGTGTTTTAAATTAGTCTTCATAATTTGCAATAAACTATGGATGGCCTGGTTTAAACAGATATCTGAGCAAGTCTCTGCAAAACTATGCATTTTGCATTTGTTTACATTTTGTTATTGAATGTAATGATAGATCGGTAAAATTGTTTCCCTGTCATTAAGTTTGAAACCAAAATAATCATATAAAAGCAATGACAATGTGTGAAATGTAACCCGCATGATGAACAATGGCTGCCAATACCTGCTATGGTCTTGTACAGTGACTTATCAGGGATATGATTATTTGAGTAACTGCACAGTAGTTACAGCTAGCTGTTAAACATGAACAACTATTATACCTTTACTGAACATAATGAATAACAGAACTGAAATTGATGATGGCCAGCTATATGACGGAACAGTGCCTGGCTAATAGCAAAACTGAATGTCAATAATGTCTAATGCTGTACTTTATTAGAATGCTTTATTACACGCTGTACTATATTAGTACAGTTAGCTAGAACTTCATTTAAATAATAAACATATATTCCTTATGTCTTTAGTGTCATGATCTTGCTGCCTTTACCTTCAACGTGTTAACTATGCCCTACTACAGTATGTTACCTCTGTGCCATGTTGATGTTCTGAACAAGTGGTGTTTTCAGCCACATCTATCTATGTACTGTATATAAGTTAAACATAAAGCAAATTAATTGAATGTAGATTCCATTTGGCTTTGAGCATATCCTCATGAAATAATTGTTCTCCATTTATTATTTAAAATGTGTGGATTTAAAATGCAATAGAATTAAAGCATCTGACAGGAAATATACTGCACTGTTGTTTTTGTACCCATTATTCTGTACAGCATACCTTGCACTTACAGACGCTGGGAATTTGTCTGTGTTGCAATGATAAAGTGCCCAAGAAGGCAAAGTTAAGATGTGTAGCCTTGTCAGCACTGGGCCTTTGTGCCAGATTTATCTCTGGCTTGCAAGAATAGAGGACATCAGTACATCGCTACATGTATTAACCAGTGTTGTGACAATGAGAGAAAATGTAATGTGTGGGGAAATTTCCAAACCACTTCCATTCCTTGATTAGTTGTCAATCAATTTTGTAAGGGGAGGGCAAGTAGGCCTATGCTGTTATATTTATTTGTTTATAAAACAACAACACATTGTCAATATTCTTTGATTACATTAACAAAGGCTATGAGCGTTACCTGATTCTGTAGGCTATAGCCTATAAGCCTATGCGTTCAACTGAAGATAAGTGTGATAAGTGCACCACCCTGTGTTTAAGACTGACATTGCAGTGCATTGAGGCAAAAGGAAAACACAATATTTCGTATAAAAATGCATTACAATTGACTTTCCACGTAGGCATATTTGCATAACAAAGAAGACACAGATCACAATGAAAGGTCAGTCATATTCTTATTAATGATCTTGATAGCCGCTCAAAACTGCTGACGTTTCGCACGCACGCACGCAACTGACAGACAGACGGAAGTGAGGTAGACTGAAATAGCCTAATGTCTTCCTATGCAGAATAAATACTGTGATGCTTCCCTCCTGATACTGACTGTCCCGTCAAGCTTGATAAACGATAACATTGAAAGGCTGTCGGAAAACAAACGAGATGAATTCCTCAAGAAGAAGCGAAAGTGATTGGCAGGGTTTGGTCAGCGAGGTGAGTTGATTCAATGCAACATTGTATCATCCTGCACTGTGCAAATAATGCCACTGCCTCTTCCATGTCAAACTAAAATCCTAACCCCAATGCATCTTCTCACAGCTGTCAGTATCTTTATCACGTTGTTTGAAATAAATGTGCCTACAGTATTTCGTTTTTGAAACACTTCCTATAGCCTAAATGTTAATGTTTGTCGGGTAGCCTATTTAATCTACAACGCCGTTGCATATTTCAAATTCAACATGCTAGCCTACAACAAACTAGAAATGATGTGTACAGGGTATTTATTTCCTAGACAGAATACCTCCGCGTCGTTTCTTTTGATAAATATGACAGCTTGAACATGGAATGAGATACAAAATTCTGACGCATGTTCATTTTAAATGGACATAGATTAACGGTGGTTTAATGCGATTATAAAGTCGTCCTCGTTGGTTAGGAGGGAGGGAAGAGAGTCTAGTACTGCACTTCTAAACATCTCCTCAATGTTTTCAATAAAGTCCATTACATGTTTTCCTGCTAGGGACATGGTCTTCCTTGTGGGCCTAGGCTATGCTATCCCAGATACCATTGTGAGCATTAGGAAGTACATTTGAGAAAATCCAGACAAATGTATTCACACGGTGTTGTACCGTTAGCCTACAGTACATTCTAAGCTTATTTACAGAAGCATTTGGTAACAATTAGGGTAAGGCTAGTCATAGGTTAGTCAGTCAAAAAGCACACAGGCACAGAACAGGAATGTGACAGCTATATAAAGCATTATATAACCTATTCCAATCTTTATTTTGGTCATGTATTCATTAGGTGTGTAATGCAACGCTATGTAGATGTAATGTCTGATGTATAGGTAACTGCCAAAAATAAAGGAAGCACTTGAGTAAATGAAGGATACAAGTATATTTAAAGCAGGGGGAAAAAATAGGATATTGAAAGCTGGTGCTTCGACAGGTGTGGTTCCTGAGTTAATTAAGCAATTAACATCCCATCATGCTTAGGGTCATGTAGAAAAGTGCCCATTATTTTGGCTACCGGGGTTTAGCGCTGTCCCCGACCCAAAAAAATATTGGTCGATCTGTTATTTTGACCAATTAATTGGTAGACATTTTTAAACGTGTATTTTTCCATGTATAGACACTCCCTATGTTTGAATAAAATCAACTATATGTAGGCTACTGAGTTTGTCTGATGCTTTAAGCTCTGCGATTAAAGATGAAGACACACAAATTACTAAAGAGGGAGCCAGAGATCAATATAGCCTAACAAGAATAAAACCTGTTCCCGAAATGGACACATTTATAGGCCTACATTTGCGTGCAGGCCAGGTAGCCTAGGCCTACTTCTATGCATAATCAGGTGCATGTCCTTACTCAAGATTGACAGGAGCGCTCCAAACAAAAGACAATGAATATATTGACAACTTGTAAATGGAATGAAATAAACCTAAACTTTTTTGTAGCCTAGGTTACAGTATTATTACAACGGTAATAATACTGTAATAATAATAATATATTGAATGCATTAACAGAAATTACCGTAACCAAACAAACATTGTAGATTAGAAATTATGTGAATTAACGGTAAATGTACTAGTGGTGATACTGGTGTGCCATCCCGCAATGGATTAGTCCACTGAGACAGGCATGAATCAGACAGGTGTCTCGTGTGTCATGCATTTCTTTTTTATATATTTGCCACTGCTCAACTAAAAAAATATTGGTCGACCAACAGCCTATCGACCAGTCGACTAAATGGGGTCAGCCCTACTAGAATAAAATATCTCAGTGACTTTGAAAGAGGGGTCTCAAAGGAGCATAGGGGTTTAAAGTGTGTGTGTGCATGTGTCTCAGGCACCAGATCTCAACCAAATTGAACACTTATGGGAGATTCTGGACCAGCGCCTGAGATAGCATTTACCATCAACAAAACACCAAATTATGGAATTTATCGTGGAAGAATTGTCACATCCCTCCAATAGAGTTCCAGACACTTGTAGAATCTATGCTAAGGCGCATTGAAGCTGTTCTGGTGACTCGTGGTGGCCCAACGCCCTGTTAAGACACTTTATGTTGGTGTTTCCATTATTTTGGCAGTTACCTGTATGTCCTGCTTATAGATGTTTAATATGTCCCACACAGTGATCTCATCATGCAGGCAAGTTGCCTTTTTTACAGTATGTCTGATCTGCTTGCACAAGATGACAATGTGTGTTCATGTCATGTGTACAGTTCCTGGTGTGTAAGCGCAAGTTGGAGAGCAAGAAGGAGGCCCTCCTGATTCTGTCCAAGGAGCTGGATACCTGTCAACAGGAGAGAGACCAGTACCAGCTGATGGCCAACCAGCTCCGAGAACGCCACCAGGGACTCAAGAAGAAGTACAGGGAACTCATAGTGAGTCTACACCCTCGGAGTAGGGTGATTTTGTGTCAGTTTTGCATTTTCAGTATTAGGGGAGGGGAAGCTGATCCTAGATCTGTACCTAGGGGGAAACTTCAACGTGGAGCCACTACTTCACACTACTACTCCACAACTGCTCCTCACACTGCTACAATACCTTACTACTGTCAATCACACACACTGTATTACTACACAAGAGGGACATTAAAGGCCTCATTCAATCAAAAGTTGACGCAAAGTGACACGCAAAGTGACACTTCCTGTACCACAAGAAATATGACGATCAAATCAAGTTTGATTTGTCACATGCTTCGTAAACAACAGGTGTAGACTGTGAAATGCTTACTTACGGGCCCTTCCCAACAATGCAGAGAGGAAAAAGAGAAATCATAGAAAAATAATAACACAAGGAATAAATACACAATGAGTGTTTTGATAACTTGGCTATATACACAGGGTAACAGTACCGAGTCGATGTGCAGGGGTACGAGGTAATTGAGGTAGATATGTACATATAGGTAGGGATAAAGTGACTAGTCAACAGGATAGATAATAAACATTAACAGCATTGTATGTGATGAGGCAAGAGTTAGTGCAAAAAGGGTTAATGCTGATAGTCCGGGTAGCTAATGGTTAACTATTTAACTAGCTATTTAGCAGTCTTATGACTTGGGGTAGAAGCTGTTCAGGGTTCTGTTGGTTCATACTCGGTGCATCAGTATTGCTTGCCGTGCGGTAGTAGAGAGAACAGTCTATGACTTGGGTGGCTGGAGTCTTTGACAGTTTTTAGGGCCTTCCTCTGACACCGCCTGGTATAAAGGTCCTGGACGGCAGGGAGCTTGGCCCAAGTGATGTACTGGGACATACGCACTACCCTCTGTAGCACCTTTGCGGTCGGATGCCAAGCAGTTGCCATACCAAGCGGTGATGCAGCCAGTCAAGATGCTCTCAATGGTGCAGCTGTAGAACTACAGCCCTGTCGATGTGGATGGGTCGTGCTCGGCCCTCCGTTTCCAGTAGTCCACAATCAGCTTCTTTGTCTTGCTGACTTTGAGGGAGAGGTTGTTGTCCTGGCACAACCCTGCCAGATTTCTGACCTCCTCCCTGTAGGCTGTCTCATCGTCGTCGGTGATCAGGCCTACCACCGTTGTGTCGTTGGCAAACTGGAGATGGAGAAATCTGATGTTTTACATTAAACTATTTAAGATGACAAATTATATTTGGCAGCAGCTACGTGCAGAGGCCTCTCTGGGCTAAAAGTATGGAAGAACTAGTAGACACTGATATTTTTCTTTTATGAGTGGATATTATAATAAGTTAGGGAAATGTCAAGTTATTTATTACACTGCAGTTTCAATTGACTGAAGAATGAGTTGATTTGAGCTGCCTATTCACACTTAAAATATCTGTCTGATGTTATAATGTTTTGTGCACAAGGTCCCAACATTTATACTCCTAACTTCTGACCATAAAGATACAGTGCATTTGGAAAGTATTCAGACCCCTTGACTTTTTCCACATTTTGTTACGTTAGAGCCTTATTCTAAAATTGATTAAATTGTTTTTTTCTCCTCATCAATCTACACAAAATACCCCATAATGACAAAGCAAAAACTGTTTTTTTTATTACAAATAAAAAACTGAAATGACATTTACATAAGTATTCAGAACCTTTACTCAGTACTTTGTTGAAGCACCCTTGGCAGCGATTACAGCCTCGAGTCTTCTTGGGTATGACGCTACAAGCTTGGCACGCCTGTATTTGGGGAGTTTCTCCCATTCTTCTCTGCAGTTCCTCTCAAGCTCTGTCAGGTTGGATGGGGAGCGTCGCTGCACAGCTATTTTCAGGTCTCTCCAGAGATGTTCGATCGGGTTCAATTCCGGGCTCTGGCTGGGCCGCTCAAGGACATTCAGAGACTTGTCCCGAAGCCACTCCTGCGTTGTCTTGGCTGTGTGCTTAGGGTCGTTGTCCTGTTGGACTGTGAACCTTCGCCCCAGTCTGAGGTCCTGAGCGCTCTGGAGCAGGTTTTCACCAAGGATCTCTCTGTACTTTGCTCCGTTCATCTTTCCCTTGATCCTGACTGGTCTCCCAGTCCCTACCGCTGAAAATCATAATGATGCTGCCAACACCATGCTTCACCATAGGGATGGTATTTGCCAGGTGATGAGCGGTGCCTGGTTTCCTCCAGACGTGACACCTGGCATTCAGGCCAAAGAGTTCAATCTTGGTTTCATCAGGCCAGAGAATGTTGTTTCTCATGGTCTGAGAGTCCTTTAGGTGCCTTTGGGCAAACTCCAAGCGGGCTGTCATGTGCCTTTTACTGAGGAGTGGCTTCCGTCTGGCCACACTACCATAAAGGCCTGATTGGTGGAGTGCTGCAGAGATGGTTGTCCTTCTGGAAGGTTCTCCCATCTCCACAGAGGAACTCTGGACCATCGGGTTCTTGGTCACCTCCCTGACTAAGGCCCTTCCCCCCCCAATTGCTCAGTTTGGCCGGGCGGCCAGCTCTAGGAAGAGTCTTGGTGGTTCCAAACTACTTCCATTTAAGAATGATTGAGGCCACTGTGTTCTTGGGGACCTTCAATGCTACAGATATTTTTTGTACCCTTCCCCAGATCTGTGCCTTGACACAATCCTGTCTCAGAGCTCTACGGACAATTCCTTTCAACCTCATGGCTTGGTTTTTGCTCTGTATGTGGGACCTTATATAGACAGGTGTGTGCCTTTCCAAATCATGTCCAATCAATTGAATTTACCGCAGGTGGACTCCAATCAAGTTGTAGAAACATCTCAAGGATGATCAATGGAAACAGGATGCATCTGAGCAAAATTTTGAGTCTTATAGCAAAGGGTCTGAATACTTATGTACAAAAGGTATTTCAGTTATTTTTTTAATACATTTTCAAAAATTTCTAAAATACAGTTTTCGCTTTGCCATTATGGGGTATTGTGTGTAGATTGAGGGAAAACAATGATTTAATCTGAATACTTTCCGAATGCACTGTATAGTACTTTACATTTCATAATTTATTAACCAAAGTCATACCAATCATACAATTTTACCTTGACTTCAGCTAAGTGATCAGTCCTCACTATCTATTTTTTCTACATTCTAGGATGGAGACTCCAGTCTACCACCTGAAAAACGAAATCAAGTAAGTCAATATCAATTTTCTTAATTATTGTAGTAGCGTGGCAGTCTAAATGGGTAGACTGAAAAGTAAATTATTAAACATGTCAAATTGGATGACCGAAGTAACGGTTTGTGTTATGACTGGACTGTACTGACATAAGACCCCTGGCCAGCAACTTCCCAATGTCAAGGATGTAATAGCATGGTAGACTACACAGCAAATTTGCGGGTGTTTAAATCTCTGTGATGAGGTAAAAAGTGTTGTCATTGTTATATCTGAATGTTGATTCTAGTGGGGTTAACAACAGTGGGATTGAAATTGACGCCACCTGCGGTGAATAAATGAAGTGTTATTTGAATCACAGTGGAATCAACACCAGGTGGTGTTGTTACTCGACTGTGTTGAGTTAATTTCTGTTAACTCTGAGTGAAAAAGACATGGGATGGGCCACATCATATTTCCCAGCATGCTTTGTTGCAGGTTGCTTTTTAGAATAGTTTGTTTTAATATCTATGTTACTGAATTAATTAATTGATCTTCTACTACACAAAGATAAATAATGGTTGGACTTATTTCACCCGTTATTGAGATGGTTGTTCCAGTTTACATGGTTTAGGTAGTCTCATTTATCAATCTCCCTACCTTGGCAGGCATTCTATCTGCAGATGCGGGTGATTAAAAGTTCCAACTGTTGTATATCTTAACTGGATTCCAATAGGAATCATATAACACTTTGCAAGCCAGCAGAATATTACTTGCCGATGTGGCCTGCAAACCAGGAGTTTCAGACCACTGTGTTAGGGTAAAACTAGGCTGTCGAAGTATGGTATTGTCCAAAAAAGTAATGTATTCTCATAAATAATTGGATTTTTATTATAAAATATGAATTTAGGCACTAACTTGGTGAAGGCTACAGGACTGAAAACCATCGAATGCAACAGTCATGTCTCTGTCACTAGCAAACACCGTCATGGGTGCTACAGGTACCTCTACAATTCACTCGAAAGGCACCCTGAGAAATAAATATGCAAATAAGGCTTTACACAGTGTTAAAACACCCCAAAAAATAGTTACTTTAAGACCACAGGTGTTAATTCCCTAAGACTGAGAAAATGTACAGTGAGGGAAAAAAGTATTTGATCCCCTGCTGATTTTGTACGTTTGCCCACTGACAAAGACATGATCAGTCTATAATTTTAATGGTAGGTTTATTTGAACAGTGAGAGACAGAATAACAACAAAAAAATCCAGAAAAAACGCATGTCAAAAATGTTATAAATTGATTTGCATTTTAATGAGGGAAATAAGTATTTGACCCCTCTGCAAAACATGACTTAGTACTTGGTGGCAAAACCCTTGTTGGCAATCACAGAGGTCAGATGTTTCTTGTAGTTGGCCACCAGGTTTGCACACATCTCAGGAGGGATTTTGTTCCACTCCTCTTTGCAGATCTTCTCCAAGTCATTAAGATTTCGAGGCTGACGTTTGGCAACTCGAACATTCAGCTCCCTCCACAGATTTTCTATGGGATTAAGGTCTGGAGACTGGCTAGGCCACTCCAGGACCTTAATGTGCTTCTTCTTGAGCCACTCCTTTGTTACCTTGGCCGTGTGTTTTGGGTCATTGTCATGCTGGAATACCCATCCATGAACCATTTTCAATGCCCTGGCTGAGGGAAGGTGGTTCTCACCCAAGATTTGACAGTACATGTCCCTTTGATGCGGTGAAGTTGTCCTGTCCCCTTAGCAGAAAAACACCCCCAAAGCATAATGTTTCCACCTCCATGTTTGACGGTGGGGATGGTGTTCTTGGGGTCATAGGCAGCATTCCTCCTCCTCCAAACACGGCGAGTTGAGTTGATGCCAAAGAGCTCGATTTTGGTCTCATCTGACCACAACACTTTCACCCAGTTCTCCTCTGAATCATTCAGATGTTCATTGGCAAACTTCAGACGGCCCTGTATATGTGCTTTCTTGAGCAGGGGGACCTTGCGGGCGCTGCAGGATTTCAGTCCTTCACGGTGTAGTGTGTTACCAATTGTTTTCTTGGTGACTATGGTCCCAGCTGCCTTGAGATCATTGACAAGATCCTCCCGTGTAGTTCTGGGCTGATTCCTCACCATTCTCATGATTGCAACTCCACAAGGTGAGATCTTGCATGGAGCCCCAGGCCGAGGGAGATTGACAGTTCTTTTGTGTTTCTTCCATTTGTGAATAATCGCACCAACTGTTGTCACCTTCTCACCAAGCTGCTTGGCGATGGTCTTGTAGCCCATTCCAGCCTTGTGTAGGTCTACAATCTTGTGCCTGACATCCTTGGAGAGCTCTTTGGTCTTGGCCATGGTGAAGAGTTTGGAATCTGATTGATTGATTGCTTCTCTGGACAGGTGTCTTTTATACAGGTAACAAGCTGAGATTAGGAGCACTCCCTTTAAGAGTGTGCTCCTAATCTCAGCTCGTTACCTGTATAAAAGACACCTGGGAGCCAGAAATCTTTCTGATTGAGAGGGGGCAAATACTTATTTCCCTCATTAAAATGCAAATCAATTTATAACATTTTTGACATGCATTTTTCTGGATTTTGTTGTTGTTATTCTGTCTCTCACTGTTCAAATAAACCTACCATTAAAATTATAGACTGATCATTTCTTTGTCCGTGGGCAAACGTACAAAATCAGCAGGGGATCAAATACTTTTTTCCCTCACTGTAACAGCATCAGCTCTAATAAAGTGTACATTTATCAACACTATTTTGATGTGGGTGTTAAAATTCTGATCTCAAATTTTCTGTGTTGATGTGAAAGAACACTATCATGTACATGTCCTATGTCATGTCACCCTGTCCTATGTCATTCCCTTGATCAGTTGAATTTGGCCATGCTGTTGAGAGACTCCAGAGAAAGGAGTAAGCAGCTGTCTGAAGAGGTGAAGGAGCTGAATCAACGACTGGCTGAGGCCCAGGGGGATAACAAGGTATGTTATCCTTCAGGGATTGGGTCAATTCCATTTCAATTCAGTCAATTCAGGAAGTAAACTGACATTCCAATTGTCATCATTTAAAATCAATTAGGAAAATTTGAATTTCAGTTTACTTCCTGACAGGGCAGCAATGGTTTACGCACATTTGAAATCAAACAGTGCAGTTACTGTCGGTTGCATTCTAAATTGAAATGAAATTGACTTTGTCCTCCCCCTACCCTCCCACAGCTCCTGCGGATGACCATAGCCAGACAGAGGTTGGGGGATGAAGAGGTGGGGGCGAGACACTTCCCGGCCTATGAGCGGGAGGACCTTGTCCAGCAATTGGAGACGGCACGAGAGCAGGTGAGGAATGGAAAGGTTGTGCCATAATTTGTGTAACTGTTGGGATCCGAACCCCGGTCTCCCGCTCAGGAAACCAACTTCTTTACCATTACACCAAGAGTAAATTCCAGGGCAGGGCTACCGCATCGTGAAAGTCTGATTCACCTCTGCTACAATTGGTTGAGTGGTAATGGGACAAATGCCATTTGACCACATGTCAATATAGAGACCAATGTTCAATTCCCCGGTCTGGCACTTCTGAACTGTCTCCACCCTCATCTGTCTCTCCATTTTACTGTCTTAAATACATTTTTAAAATACTGAACAAAACTGAATTCTCCTTTTTTTTTTTTACATCAAAGTTGTAGAATAAGTTGTCCCGCAAAGACGGTGTGGTGGTGGGTTAAAAAAAAGAAGGCAAACAAGTGTGAGGAACGCACCTTGGGTGATGTTGGAAACCACACCAATGGCAGAATGAAATTGTACAGATGGTTTTGATATTGTCATATAGGCGATAAGAGACCAGTTGTCAGAATGCCATATTCCCAACCATCCATAGTTCAGCCTATGTTGCCCACTCATTACGTAAGGCAGTGTTGGAGGTTTTCCACAGCCACAATCTGTAATATTATACAGTGGGGGAAAAAAGTATTTAGTCAGCCACCAATTGTGCAAGTTCTCCCACTTAAAAAGATGAGAGAGGCCTGTAATTTTCATCATAGGTACACGTCAGCTATGACAGACAAATTGAGAAAAGAAAATCCAGAAAATCACATTGTAGGATTTTTAATGAATTTATTTGCAAATGATGGTGGAAAATAAGTATTTGGTCACCTACAAACAAGCAAGATTTCTGGCTCTCACAGACCTGTAACTTCTTCTTTAAGAGGCTCCTCTGTCCTCCACTCGTTACCTGTATTAATGGCACCTGTTTGAACTTGTTATCAGTATAAAAGACACCTGTCCACAACCTCAAACAGTCACACTCCAAACTCCACTATGGCCAAGACCAAAGAGCTGTCAAAGGACACCAGAAACAAAATGGTAGACCTGCACCAGGCTGGGAAGACTGAATCTGCAATAGGTAAGCAGCTTGGTTTGAAGAAATCAACTGTGGGAGCAATTATTAGGAAATGGAAGACATACAAGACCACTGATAATCTCCCTCGATCTGGGGCTCCACACAAGATCTCACCCCGTGGGGTCAAAATGATCACAAGAACGGTGAGCAAAAATCCCAGAACCACACGGGGGGACCTAGTGAATGACCTGCAGAGAGCTGGGACCAAAGTAACAAAGCCTACCATCAGTAACACACTACGCCGCCAGGGACTCAAATCCTGCAGTGCCAGACGTGTCCCCCTACTTAAGCCAGTACATGTCCAGGCCCGTCTGAAGTTTGCTAGAGTGCATTTGGATGATCCAGAAGAGGATTGGGAGAATGTCATATGGTCAGATGAAACCAAAATAGAACTTTTTGGTAAAAACTCAACTTGTCGTGTTTGGAGGACAAAGAATGCTGAGTTGCATCCAAAGAACACCATACCTACTGTGAAGCATGGGGGTGGAAACATCATTCTTTGGGGCTGTTTTTCTGCAAAGGGACCAGGACGACTGATCCGTGTAAAGGAAAGAATGAATGGGGCCATGTATCGTGAGATTTTGAGTGAAAACCTCCTTCCATCAGCAAGGGCATTGAAGATGAAACGTGGCTGGGTCTTTCAGCATGACAATGATCCCAAACACACTGCCCGGGCAACGAAGGAGTGGCTTCGTAAGAAGCATTTCAAGGTCCTGGAGTGGCCTAGCCAGTCTCCAGATCTCAACCCCATAGAAAATCTTTGGAGGGAGTTGAAAGTCCGTGTTGCCCAGCGACAGCCCCAAAACATCACTGCTCTAGAGGAGATCTGCATGGAGGAATGGGCCAAAATACCAGCAACAGTGTGTGAAAACCTTGTGAAGACTTACAGAAAACGTTTGACCTGTGTCATTGCCAACAAAGGGTATATAACAAAGTATTGAGAAACTTTTGTTATTGACCAAATACTTATTTTCCACCATAATTTGCAAATAAATTCATAAAAAATCCTACAATATGATTTTCTGGAATTTTTTTTCTCATTTTGTCTGTCATAGTTGACGTGTACCTATGATGAAAATTACAGGCCTCTCTCATCTTTTTAAGTGGGAGAACTTGCACAATTGGTGGCTGACTAAATACTTTTTTCCCCCACTGTAGGTATATCTTACAATGTTTGAAATGCCTTACAATGTTTGAAATCTTACATATTGTGGCTTTAAGGCATTTTTTCTGTTTGTCCTAGAATGAGGAGCTGGAGCACAGTGTGAAATCTCTGACGGACGAGCTGCAGGATGTGAGGGCGGAGCGTAACGTGTTCCAGGAAAAGGCCCAGCGGCTGAACCACGAGGTGAACCACATCCTGGGGGGACACGAGTGTCAGATCCTAGACGTAGATGCACTCTGCATGGAGAACAGGTGTGTTTGTGTGTAGGAGAACATAATATAAATCATATAATGTATGTAATATCTGTAATATCTGTAATGTAATGTCTTATTGAATGCAATAAGGATGTTGTTGAACAACTTGCTACACAATGTATGACTTTGGGCATTTATTGTTTTGGAATAGTTTTTAAATAAACTGATGTTTTCTTTCAGATATTTACACGAGCGGTTCAAACAACTGCAGGAGGAGGTCACCATGCTCAAAACGAATGTCATGAAGTACAAGGTATTGTAAGCAACATATAAACAAGCCGAAAATGTTGTCTGAATAGTACTAATAATACTATAGAACAGAACTATCCTTAGAGATGATCACAAGTATCATAACTACTCAAGGCCTTATTTAGTCAGCTGGTAACTGGGTTTCTGGGCTCATGTTCTAATGTCAATTAAAATGTAATATTTTGTGACATTTTTGTTGCCAAGATGGCACCCATGACAGTTGTAGATCTCAAACCATATTTGACAAACTGTATCTATGGGTTTGGTGATATTCTGTATGTTTTTTCCCCCCGTTTGTATGGTTCACAACCCTCTACTACTACACATATGGTTAATGACAAATCATGTTTGTGAACAGGGGGGTACAATATATCATATGAATATCAACTGGTATTTGTACTGGTTTTCAGAGTGCTCTGGAGAGCAGGAAGAACTCCAAGACGTATGGCAAAGTTAACAGCAGTGCACTCACCGGGGTGCTCTCTGCCAAACAAGGTACTGCACAAACCGTTCCCCCACTCCTCTTCTTTCTGTTCGTATTTTGTTAATTAGTCCATGATGCAAAATGCATCATCATCATCATCACAGTTTTTACTCTGTACTGAAAATGCTCTATCTTGAAATCGTACAAACTTCTAGAATTGGAAAACACATTTTTATACACAAAATATACATACATACATACATACATATATATATATATACACAGTACCAGTCAAAAGTTTGGACACACCTTGCTGGTGACACTGTCTGTGATTTATTTAAAATTCAAGGCACACTAACCAGCATGGCTACCACAGCATTCTGCAGCGATATGCCATCCCATCTGTTTTGCGCTTAGTGGGACTATAATTTTTTTTTCAACAGGACAATGACCCAACACACCTCCGGGATGTGTAAGGGCTATTTGACCAAGAAAGAGAGTGATGGAGTGCTGCATCAGATAATCTGGCCTCCAAGGTCATCTGTTAATTGAAATGCATTCCAGGTGACTGGTTGAGAGAATGCCAAGAGTGTGCAAAGCTGTCAAGGCAAAGGGTGACTACTTTGAAGAATCTAAAATCTTAAATATATTTTGATTTATTTAACACTTTTTGGGTTACTACGTGATTCCATATGTGTTATTTCATAGTTTTGATATCTTCACTATTATTCTACAATGTAGAAAATAGTAAAAATGAAGAAAAACCCTTGAATGAGTATGTGTGTCCAAACTTTTGACTGGTACTGTACACCCATACATACAGTTAAAGTCGGGAGTTTACATACCCTTAGGTTGGAGTCATTAAAACTAGTTTTTCAACCACTACACAAATTTCTTGTTAACAAACTATAGTTTTGGCAAGTCGGTTAGGACATCTACTTTGTGCATGACACAAGTAATTTTTCCAACAATTGTTTACAGACAGATTATTTCACCAGTAGGTCAGAAGTTTACATACACTAAGTTGAGTGTGCCTTTTAAACAGCTTGGAAAATTCCAGAAAATGATGTCATGGCTTTAGAAGCTTCTGATAGGCTAATTGACATCATTTGAGTCAATTGGAGGTGTACCTGTGGATGTATTTCAAGGCCTACCTTCAAACTCAGTGCCTCTTTGCTTGACATCATGGGAAAATCAAAAGAAATCAGCCAAGACCTCAGAAAAACAATTGTAGACAAGTCTGGGTTTGCACAACCAAATCATTTCTGCACAAACTGTCAGAAACCGTCTCAGGGAAGCTCATCTGCGTGCTCGTCGTATTCATCAGGATCTTGACCTGACTGCAGTTTGGCATCGTAACCGGCTTCAGTGGGCAAATGCTCCCCTTCGATGGCGACTGGCACACTGGAGAAGTGTGCTCTTCACGGATGAATCCCGGTTTCAACTGACCCTGGCAGATGGCATCGTGTGGGTGAGCGGTTTGCTGACGTGAATGTTGCGAACAGAGTTCTAAGCTGACATATGGCATTGTTTTAAGGTGGTCATACTATGGATCCTTTAGCTATTTGATTTTGAATTTTAGGACCCCTTTAGGTATCAAAATAAAATATAAAAAAGTTATTTGATAAAATATTGAATTTGGCCTTTACTACAATAGCCCAGAGAAACACATTCCTAAATGGCAAAAAAGACTGTCAAAAAAAGAAACAAGGTTTTTAAGTGTTTGTCCTATATCTAGGAGATATAAGAAATATATATATTTTTTATTTTTTTATTATTATTATTCTTTATTTTTTTTTATTCTTTATTTTTACACATTTAACCCCTTTTTGGGAGGGCACAAAAGTACCTTCATACTTCCATGAATGTTTTTAAAACCAGTACCGGTTACCTTCAGACGAGTCCCGTGAAACTTGTGTCGTGTTCTTGAGATTCTCCCCTGTCCATAGAGCGATCATAACAGTTTGTAGGTCAAACTGTTCGAACGCTACAGATGTTTTCATGAGAAGACCGATTTTCGGGATGTCTCATGGTCTGACAAATAACACTCTAGCTCTGCCACCTTTCACCGCAGATGTGGAAGTGCGACATCAGTTTTCCAATGCAAAAAAACATATCTCTATCTTAAACTGACCGATTTTGCTGGGGATTTTTTTTTATGTTACTTAGAGCGTCAATCGACTCTAGGGTGTTAAATGCATCAATGATGGCATTTTATTTCGTAAGGAGGCCAGTCGGGGCCTAAGCCTGTGTTCCTGGCCTTGACCCAAGCATCAGTGTTTTAATGAATGACTTCTGATAATTCCGTAGTGTACCAGGCATTCGACCTACCTTTTAACCCTTAGTTTTCTGAAGGGAGCATGATTATCCACAATAGTGTTGAAGACATCGGCAAAAAGGCTGAAAGCTAAATCAGGTTCAGGGATAGTTCAAATACAATCAAGGTCACTAAAATAAAGATCATGTAAAAAAGCCTGTTCACTGAACTTTTTTAAAAGTTCCTCTTTGTGATGACCCGAGGCTTAGATCTTTGTATTTTCACATCTCTAACGCAAACAATTGGGCAATGGTCACTAATATCTTAGACGAAGACACCAGTAGAAACATATTTCTCTGGTGTATTCGTTAGAATCAATCAGAGTTGACTTTTTTAAGGATCTTTAGGGTTGGGCCGTATAGGCTGTCACCAGCTGTGTTAGGTTTAGATCATTACACATGTCTTTTAGATTGTCTGAAGCCTGCATTTCCCATTCATAATTTAGGTCACCAAAGATAATAACTTCTAAGATAGTTTTTCAGTGAACTATCCCTTTTTCAGATTTCTTGCACATAATCACTCACTATAGCTCTTCAGATATATCTAGTGGATTTGAATCAATGTGTTGTATTCAAGATGTTATATACGTCAACTTACAATCTTTTCCATCATACCAACCTTGGAGAAAAATAAATAAACTGACTGAAATATTGTTCTGTTGTCTGCACGTCCCAAATATCACTTTACATTTCTATGTATTCCAATACATAGAAATGTAAAGAGATATTTGGGACGTGCATTTTAAGAGCAGGCTGTCGTTTCTATTGCCTGTATAACATTTTTGGTAACACTTTACTTGACACCCAGAATCATAACACGTTATGACATGGTCATAATCTGTCATATTATGGTCATAACACTGTCATGACACATATATTTAGAACTTTTGTGACATATTGCGTTATTTTATGGCTGGTTATGACACCTACATAAGAGTGTCAAAACCCACAAAACCTACCACACAAGGCAAAACATTCCATTACACCATAGTCTGCTTGTCAACAGTATGTTTATGTTATATTACATTTTCAGAAATGTACCATATTAAATTATCATTGTAATTGCACACACATTTATGTCAGACATGCACCTACCCCAAATCTCTGTTGCTGATGACTGGGATGAATGCAGGAGTAGGTTTCAGGAGAAGGACAAGACACCCTCATTTTGACTGATGACTGACATAAAAGGCCTATCTGGCTTATATGATTATGATGGTCATAATGCTTCTTCATAAAGTGTATATTCTTAGTCCAAGTAAAGTGACACAGGATGGTAATAATGCTTTATGACAGTGTCATAAATTGTATTTTCTAAAAGTTATTTTAAAATGTTATGGGTAAAAAATGACTGTAAAAAATTAGTTACAACAATAGCAAAGGACTTAAGAAACAAACTTTCAAACAAAAGGTAACTTCTTGGCAGGAAAAAAACACATTTGAATAAATGTGGGTTTTGATGTGTGTAGGTGTCATAACAGCCATAAAATAACGCAATATATGTCACAACAGGTGTAAATATATGGGTCATGACAGTGTTATGACCATGTTATGACAAGCTATGTCAGCCGTTATGGCACATTATGACATGGTTATGACCGTGTCATAACGTGTTATGATGCTGGGCGTCAAGTAAAGTGTTACCTAATTTTCCTCTAAAGCCAGTGCTGATGGTGGGGTAGATGTCTCTGAACATTGTGTCAGTTCTCTGCACATTCATTTTAGATAATGAATACACTGTATAATCAAAATGCCAACATCCCTCCCTATCCAGCTCACATGCTCTTGCACCATGCATTTACTTCCATTCGTAATACGCATCAAAAGGCAAAGCTACCCAAGATGGAGACTCTAAACTTAAGAAAATAAGAGAACCCCCATAAACATCTGTCTAGGCAAACATAAACACAGAACATTTTACCTATCTTAATGGGATTTGTGTGTGTGTTCAGTGCAGGAATTATTGCTTTCTGAGGACCACGGATGCAGTCTCCCCGTCACGTCTCAGTCCATCTCAGACCTCAAGTCCCTGGCCACAGCCCTACTGGAAACCATCCATGAGAAGAACCTGGTCATTCAGCACCAGCGCCAAACCAACAAGTAGGGAGCTCTTCTACTCTGTAGAAATGTTTAAATTCCTTTCTTCTTCATCTGAATTTCTTCTGTTTTTCTAACTCTCATGACCAAGTTACTCTGTAAGTAGCCCCTATGCCATGTACTCACTTATTGCATTTATACCTGCAATGTTGTGAACATCTCACCTCATTGAAAACAGCCTCATGTCTTCCTATGTAAACAGGATTCTTGGAAACCGAGTAGGGGAGCTCGAGAAGAAACTGAAGACTCTAGAGGTGTCGGGAATATGGAGCCTCCCAGGTCTCTGCCACACACTGTTTATTTTTTTGTTATTTTAGAATTCATATCGTGATGCATATTGCATCATGAGTAACTTACTAGCCTGTATGTATACCATGCAAATATAAATGTGGATCTCGAAGCCAGTTCCATGGCTGATTTTCAGGTGGATGCAATTAATTATCAGGTCAGAAAACCAGCAGTACTCCGGACCCCCAGGCTTGCATTTGAATACCCCTGCTGTATACATTCATAAATGCTGTTTGAAAGTGGCATGAGCTAATATAAATATGGTATTATTGGGTGTTATTAGGCACTATTAACTGGTGATTCATACTGATAGCTTTTGATCCTGTATGTGGTCACTGGCCAGTAGTATTGGCACCCAGTCACTATTGTCAAACTATGAGTGATTTGATTAATGTTCCATCTCTCCCACTGTACTGAGTTTCTTCTTCTCTCTTTTCCTTCTGCTTTCTGGAGGCCTGACTTACAATGTGTCGCTGGGATTCTCTGGAAGTATGTTTCCACTGCTTTACTTTACTTCACTAATACTATACTTTACTGTAATATACTGTACTACAACAATTTTAATTTAAAGTTTCTGTTGACATGCTTGATATCTCCATCCTGTCCCTTAAAATATCCATGGGTACACTATTTTTGTGCTATTTATACTGAGCAATCTCCACTGCATGCATGTTTTGAGATTATTCAGGTTTTTACGGAGTAAAAAAAACACTAATGCCACAAAACATACTTAAAACACTTTTGAGTCACCGCAGAAAGCCTGACCGGCCTTCAAAATAATAAGGCCGGTCAGGCAGAGAGAAAGTCACAATGCTGTCCCTGTCTTTCTTGTCTACAGTGTTTAGTGTGAATCCAGAAATAAACCTAACTAAATATTTCTCTGAACATTATTTCTCGCTGGATGGGAAGAATGTCCTTTGCACTGATCCATGTAAACTCAGACTCGACTGAAGAGAGGTAGCCTGGTCCCAGATCTGTTTGAGCTGCATAGTCAACTCCTATGGTCGTTTCTGCATTGGTGTGCTACACAGCACAAACTGAACTGGGACCAGGCTAGAAGAGAAGCCACTCTGATATAGTTTACACTACACCATATATTTACCCTGTCCCTTATACCGTATTATGTATCCAAAAATTAGGGATGCTGTGCCCAGTCACACACACAACACTGAGACGCCTCGGTTGTCAACATAATCTATTAATTGCATGCCAGTTCGTTGTATTGTAAATTCATTATCAGTAAAGATCTTGGCTTTTATGTGCAGGTTAGGTTGGGAGTATAATGTTTTTGTCAATACAGTTGTCATGACACGTGATCTAGTATAAATATTTGTGACAATTGTTGTAACACTGTACAGGCATTAGGACATGTTATTATATCAAAAGTGCTAGTAATATTATTTGGCTTCTTTTGTGATAGGAGGGAGAGATGCCATCATCCTGAATGAAACTCTGCAGCCTAGATCCACTGTGACAAGCTCTGAGGAGAAGGAAGTACCATCCAATGAACAGGAAGTACCACCCACTGAGCAGGAAGTACAACCCACTGAGCAGGAAGTACCCCCCACTGAGCAGGAAGTACCCCCCACTGAGCAGGATGTAACCCCCAATGAGCAGGAAGTACCTTCCACTGTGCAGTCTACCACAGGTGAATGAGAATATTCTATGTAATTATGTGGGGCTAACTGTATAAATAGCAGATTGATTAAATATCTTACATTACATTCCAATTCTTATACATTCTATAGAGTATCTATTTCACTGGCTCTTATGTACTATAACCTTAATTCATATTACAGCAGATGACTACACCATTCTCATTGTTGCCAATTTGGTTCTGGGTGTTGAGATCAATGTTACTAATGCTGCTACATTTCAATTATACCATAACATTCTCAATTATTTTGACCGTAGAGCAGAGGACGACAAGGTAGCCAAGGAGAGGCAGAGCCCCCCTGTCCCAAGCCATGTGGGGAGGTTACCCAGTGTGACGGGGGATACAGAGATGGGCACCAAGGAGCCAGAGTCACCAGTCAGCCTGGACACATCCAAGCAAAACACCACAGGAAAATCTGCTGAGGAAGTCACTGACAGTTCTCAAGCAGAGACAATAAACCTTGATGAATGTCAGACTGTCGACCAATCACAAAGCGCAAATGTGGTCACGGTGCTTCCAAGGTACCAATTAGACGAGACTGTAGGCGGGACTCCATCCCCTTCCTCAGGGCCAGACTTGGACATGTCCTGCCCCATAGACATATGCCACCTATCGGAGCCTCTAATGGACACAAAACCCACCCAGAGAGAGGCGAGTTGGTCAGATGATGACATCTTAGGGGTGGGGTCTGAGGAGATTGACATTGCAGAGGGCTCTATGACAGACGACACCAATCTTCCATCATCAACATCAACCTGCAGCTCTCCTATTCAAACAAGTCCCACCCACGGGGAGAAGAACCAATCACACCACAAGGCAGAACCTTCAGAAGATGTGAGGGTCGAGTGCTTGACGAATAAGGAGTCAGAAATCCTTCCCTTGAACAGTAGCCACTCAAATGCTGAATGTTCAGACCAGGATGGGGCAATAGTGAAGAATGACAGCTACTTTCGTGGTCCTCTGTAGCTCAATTGGTAGAGCATGGCGCTTGTAACGCCAGGGTAGTGGGTTCGATCCCCGGGACCACCCATACGTAAAAATGTATGCACACATGACTGTAAGTCGCTTTGGATAAGTCGTCTGATATTATTATTATTATTATTATTATTATTATTATACTTCAGCCAAAACCTTGCCTAGATTGACACTGGAATATAATGGGTTTCAATACTCCTGAGGGTGCATTCTGTAAGATGTCATACTGCTTACTGGTGATCAGGGGCGGTCTGTTCAATAGGGCGATATGGGCGACGCACTGCCAAACGGGAAAAGGAAGGGAATTTTTTTCTAATCAATTATATCACGGCAACAGTAGTTATCAGTGTTGTAATCTAGACTCTGATCTGCCACACTGCCACTAAATGTCCAATCAGGCGAAAGTCGTGCTTCAAATGGCTCCCCCCCCCTTTTGGGGCGATTTCAGTCAGGTTGAAAATCGCCCAGAAGTCTGTCATAGACTCCCATGTAAAATCTATTTTTTTCAAATTTCTGAGCTTTCAATACAATCTCTATGGGTTTCTGAGGGCTTGCACTTACGCGCTTTCGTCATACGTAACGTAACCATGAACGTATCTAAGAAAAGAGCGGGTAGCAGCCTCAATCAATTCACTACAACTATCAAAATGGCTAGGCTTCAGTGCAACTCGATTGTGTCTTTGAAAGAAGTTCCTTTTTGTCGGCGAACAAATGAAGATAAATTGGCAACGAAACAATTAGGACCTCCCAGACCAAATTTAATAATTCAACAGGTTTCTACTAAAGGGGGGAAGTCCTACACCCGAGGATTTTCCAAAAATTGGTATGAACGAAAAACCTGGCTAGCAGGCTGCGATGTAGCTAATGCAGTTTTCTGCTACCCCTGCTTACTCATTCACCCTGAAGGCGGCACTGCAGACAGCACCGCTTGGACAGCGACTGGTGTAACCGACATGCACCATCTTTCAGAAAAGATTAAGAAACATGAGCTGTCAAAGACCCACATGGATAGCTGTTTGAGAATTTCTGCTTTGGGGAGAGTGAATATTGCCACTCAACTGGATGAGGGATACAGGCTAGCTGTCCGCCGCCACAACGATGAGGTTAGCAAGAACCGCCATATCCTCAGCCGGCTAATCCAGTGTGTGAAGTTTTGCGGTGTGTTTGAGTTAGCTTTGCGAGGCAAAGATGAAACTGAGGGCTCCACCAACCCTGGTATTTTTCTTGGACTTGTCAACTTTGTGGCACAATTAGATGAGGTGTTTGATGACCATCTTAAAAATGCTAAAGTTTTCAAGGGCACATCAAAGACCATTCAAAACGAGCTACTGGAGTGTATGCTAGCGGTCACGAGGGAACATATTGTGGAGGAGGTGAAGTCTGCGAACTTCGTAGCTATCCAAGCTGACGAGACCACGGATGTTTCTACACAGACACAGTTGGTGCTTGTGCTGAGGTACATAGATAGCAAGCACAAAGTGCAGGAGCGCTTTTTTGAGTTCCTTCCCATTTCGGAATCAACCTCAGTCTCAATCGCCAGTGTACTTTTGGAGAGACTGAACGGTCTTTTTGCCGATGACGAGAAAGTCAAACTCATTGCGCAAGCTTACGATGGAGCCAGTGTGATGAGGGGAGAGAAGGCTGGTGTCCAGAAAAAGGTGCGTGAGCATTTCAAGAATGCCCATTACGTGCATTGTTATGCGCATCAGCTGAATTTGATCATGCAGCAAGCTACTTCTCGCATCAAAAAAGTGAACATTTTCTTTTCCGATCTGAGTGGGATTACAACTTTTTTTTCGCGGTCACCCAAACGCACCAGCATTCTTGACCAGACTGTTGCACGAAGACTGCCCAGACCTTCATCCACACGGTGGAACTTCAACAGCAGAGTCGTGAACACTGTCTACGAGAATCGAGACGACCTCATAGAATGTTTTGAAGCCATCCGGACGGGTTCATTGGGTTCATTTGATCAGGGCACAGTGAGAGAGGCATCTGGCTACGTGAGGATGCTGCATGATGAAGATTTTATTTTTTTCCTGCGGCTTTTTCACAAAATCATGCCCCACGTCGACATTCTGTACCAGAAGCTACAGAAGAAGGACATCGATGCTGTCTTTATCAAAAGTGCCCTCGACAGCTTCACAAGCAGTGTGCAGGCCATAAGGTAAGATTAAACAATATCATTCGATCTTTCTCAAAGCAGAGCTTTATTTGAAAATGTATGCATGAAAGGAGACTGCATTTGTGTTTGAAATTACATTATTCTCATTATATATGGCCAGTGGTGTAATCTATTTTATTTTATATACTATGTGTACTGTGCAGTGGTGCTCATAAGTGTATGAACACATTCTAAAGTTGACTAAAAAGAGGAATAAAAAAATCATCTTTTGGAAATTTATCTTAATGACTTAATTTAAAAAGTTGGAAAATCCAACCTTTATGGACACCAATTTTCTTTTCTTTTTTATTCCTCTTTTTAGTCAACTTTAGCATGGGATCATAAGCTTATGAGCACCACTGTATACTGTGCTGAACATCCAGGCTATGTGAGACACAAAGGCTAACTTAAACACTAAAGACTTTATGCATCCCTGCCCATTTTAAGTGGAACTGAAGTATTTGTACTATACATCATGGATACATTGCATATACCTGTGCATCACATAGACAACAATACTGTACAAAGCCAACAAACACATTGGTCTGTTTGCCTTCAGGGACTCCTCTCAACAGCAGCTGCAAGAAGCAACAGGAGCCAAAAGACCCAGAACAGCTTTGAGAGAAGAGGAGAAGCAGAGGCTGTCTGAAGAGGTCTGCAACACCATCCTGGATCACACCAAAGAAAGGTTCTCTTTCTCTGGCCACCTTGTGAGTGCTACCTTACTGCAAGCAGACATGTTTGAAAGGTACTGCCATTCATTTCCTGATGAGGCTCTGAATGCCACTGTGAATGCATACCCCATGCTGAGCAAGGCAAAGCTCAAGACAGAACTATCTCTGATCTATGAGAATCCTGAATTCAAGGGAGGCTGTGGTGCACTGGCACTGTACCAGGTTCTCATGAGCTACAACCTCCAGGAGACGTTCTCTGAGACTGTGACTCTGTTGAACATCCTCATAACTACTCCCATGACAACAGCTGAAGCTGAGAGATGTTTCTCAACTTTGACACAAGTTAAGACATTCCTGCGAAATTCAATGGGCCAGGAACGTCTGAATGCACTGGCCATGCTTTCCATGGAGAGGGAACTAGTCCTCAGCATGCCTGATTTCAATGAGAAAGTCATTGAACGCTTTGCTGTATTGAAACAGAGAAGAGAACAGTTTCAGTACAAGTAATGTAGCCTCTCTCTCTCTTTGTCCCTCCCTCCCTGTCTCTTTAACACACACACGCCCAAATCAGTTCACAGTTGATGTTGTTTAAAATAGTTATTTTTCATTTTTTTTAAAGTAAAACAAAAACAAAAATCTGTTCATGTTCATTTTTACAAATCTATACAATTGGCCAGAATATGGTTGTTCATATTTACAAATCTATACAATTGGCCAGAATATGGTTGTTCATTTTTACAAAGCCATACAGATAGCTGTGTTTACCTTTTCTAGAAATTACTTTCAAATTCTGTTTTCAGGCAAAATGTCTATCACTGTTAATTTTCACAAATCTATACAAGAGGGCAGAATATGGAAGTCTATAAAAATTTCTTATTACCAATAACTTGCATCAATGTTTTCAGTAGCCTCTATCAAAAGCTCCTGCTTGCTTGTTGTGAATTATGCTCAGGTGCACATATTTCCAATTCAACCATGAGGCAAAAAATGTGGTAAAAGCTCTTGTTGATCCTGCAATCTGAACAAATACCAAGATGCTGTATTTTCAGCTGATATTTCATTTGTTTATGGAAATGCATATTGTTTATGCAGTGTTGAGGAATGTGAAAGAACACCCTTGATTATTTTTACTGTGATAACTTATTTTGATTTTGTAAGCCAACACTTTTGAGATCAGTCAATAAATGCTTCTGGTATTGACTTATATGCTGCCCCTGTCTTCATGTTGTTGCTGGACATATCTTTTTAAAAATGTGTGTAGGTCACCTAAATCATCAGAAAAATTGCCCCCCCTGAGAATTTTTTCAGGAGCCGCCACTGCTGGTGATTCCAAGCTCCCGAAATTTCTGAAAGAGAGATATTACTCTGCTACTGTTGCTCTAAAGTGGAATTGAACCCTGCGGTCCTTCTATTTAGTGGTTGAAGCTGGCCGGGATTGACCGGTACAGAGAACCTACTAGCTCCTCTAATTTTCTACCTTCTTGAGTACTGGCAACTCTTATAGAATACCGGCTCTAAAATGCAAACCTTGTCTAGCTCAAATTAAAGTGAGTACCAGCAACTTTTTCAATGCACCTCAGAATTCTATTGATAACATTTCTAACAGTGTCACTCTGAAATCTTATGGATTGCACCCACCCAGCTCTTTCCATCAGTTGTTGTAGAGGAGAGGAAAGGAGGGGAGAGAAGTTATTTAAAGGCCCAATGCAGCAGTTTTTATATCAATATCAAATTATTTCAGGGTAACAATTAAGTACCTTACTGTAATAGCGTTCCATTAAAATAGCCCAAAATTGATTATTTACTTTTTTTGTAAAAAACGGTTTCTCAAGCAAGAATTTTGCTAGGACTGTCTGGGAGTGGTGTGAGTGGGGAGAGGAAAACTGAAAACTAGCTGTTATTGGCAGAGAGGTTTATAACTCTTTGTTATTGGTCTATTAACCAAACCTGCTGATTTAAAAGGTCCTGTGTAGAATGTATTTTCAACCAGCAACTATCAGGAAATAACACTGATCAAATGT